AATTTTAGAGAAAAATGCATTTTTAAGCCCCATGAATAGTAAAATTTGGGATTTGCTGGTTTTAAAACACTATTTCAGCTCCATCTTTCTCATTAATTCAATCTATTCTCATCCAATAACTCTTAGAACCCTAGGACAAGATAAAGAGAAAGAGAATAAGGAAAAAAAAAGGTCTTTAAAGCTTGGATTTTGCTTGAGAACTCGACGAACTTGGATTGGAAGAGGTTTTCCTCTCTCTTACATTTATATTGTGCATCTCATGTATTTTCTTTAGCTAAAACTTACTATATGTTTGATGGCAAAATACTTGTTATAAATCTTGTTCTAGTATTGAGTATGCCTTGAATTGTGAAACTACGTGCATAAAAATAATTTTTGTGCTGTGGGTTTGAAACCCAAGTTTGATTTTAGTTATGGGTATTTGATTACACCTATAATTTGGAGGTTTTGGAGTATGCTATGATATTGTACATAATATTTATGACTTGTGCTATTGAAATAGTTGTGTTGCTTTGAAAATACAAAATTTGAGATTTTGAGTCTACTACATGTTTGATGAAATGTTAAGGTTATGTTTTCAAAAAGATCTATGGATATAGAAAATAATAATTTTTGGAAAGTGTATGCTTGATAATGATAGGCAAAGGGTTAGTAGAAACTTGGGGCCTATTAACTGGGTTGTCAAGGCAACTACTAGTCCTAAAGGGGATTGGTTATGGTAATAATTTTCGGTGATGACCTATGTGGCGTCACAAGTTGTGTTCTACTTTTTCCTCTTGAAAAGCAAGAAGGGTGATGAGGCCCTAGGGTGCAAAACCCAAAAGATTCCTCGGGGATAGTTCATGTGTGAACTGATATTTGTTTAATTATATTGTCTGTATCCGAGGCATGCATGATATTTGCTATGATGGCTTGGCTTCAAACATATAAACATTTAATTTATATCTTGTATATTTCTAATGATGATGTGTTGGGAGATATTTATGAATGCTCTACTTATTATCATGTACTTGTACTTAATTATAGAAAACTTTCATGACTTATTCGCACTGTTTGAGAAATGTTGGTATTTAAAACTTTGTAAATGCTTGAGAAAATAATTATCCTACTGGACTATGATTGCTCAGTCATTACTAATACTTTCAGAAACTAGCATGCATCATAGGACTTAGGTGATGGAATGATTATGGGAGCTTACACTAGGAAGAATCTCTCTTGGATTCTTTTTCTATTTATCTTTAGAACTTATCAAGAAATGTTAACACACAAACATTGTGTTTAAAAAGATTGTCTTGAAACACTTGTGGTGTACACTTGATTATCTCATAGAGATATTATTATTTTGGATATTGTTATGTAAAGTTATGACTTTGTGCATTAAGTTTTGGTATATATTTGTATCGGATACATTCAAATTTAGGAGCACTTCATGGGCCTCTAATTGACACCCCGACTTTAGTTGGATGATATTATGATGGAAGCATGTTGTGGATTTTAGTTAGTTTGAATTATGTTATACTCTCAGAGGAATGCTCTTACTAGCTGGTTAGAAGCCCGGTTTTCAAATGAAACTCTGCCGAAATTTTTGAAAAAAAAATATGTTTTGGTAAAACTAAATATTTTATTTCATTCAATTATTGTTGTAAACTGATAAGAGATTTTGGAAAAAATATTACTTTTTATTAAATCACGCTTTAATGAAAATTGGAGCGTGACAAATAATATCTCAAATGATAGTATCCTCACCCTATATGTTGATAAATTTACCCTAAGTTGTGGTAACAACACACAAAATCATCATAATATCATCCTACATAGGGATTATATCGTTTCTAACGATGGTTAAATTATGCCAAACGGTATTAATATCACTAGAATAGTGGTAAATTTACATTAAACCATAGTAAACTCATCCCATCCTGTTGTAATACCATCACAAATGATGATATTTTTGATCTAGTGTGACTTCACTCCAAATCACTGTAATGTCACCCCTAACCGTCGTAACCTCACCNCATAAGCTATCACTGAAAATCACTACTATAACTAATCTCCCTTATGATTAGTAGTCGCCTTGGCAACTCACTCAATAGGCCGCAACCGTCTACTAACCCTATATTTGTTAAAATTGAACATACTTTTTCTAACAATCATTATTTTCTATATCTATAAATCCTTTTAAAAACACATGTCATGACCTTGACATTTTATCAAACATGTAGTAAGCTCAAATCTTAAAATTTGTATTTTTAAAGCAACACAACCAATTCCAAGAGAATAAGTTATATATATAATGTACAAAATCATAACATACTTCAAAACCCCCATATCATAGGTTTAATCAAATACTCATAACTAAAATCAAACTAGGGTTTCAAACCCACAACACAAAAAATATTTTCATTTCTAAGAGAATAAATCATATATATTATGTACAAGATCATAACATACTTCAAAGTCCCCAAATCATAGGTTTAATCAAATACCCATAACTAAAATCAAACTAGAGTTTCAAACTCATAGCACTAAAATCATTTTTATGTGGGTTCACAATGTATGGCATATTTAATACTAAATCAAGGTTTATAACAAGTATTTTGCCATCAAACACATAGTAAATTTTAGCTAAAGAAAATACATGAGATGCACTTATAAATGCAAAAGAGAGGAAAATTTCATCTAAGAATCAAGAATTCCAAGTTTAATCTCCAAGATTTTCAAGCTAAGCCCAAGCCAGAGAGCCATTCTTCTATCTTTATCTCTCTTTCTCTCTCTAGTTCNTCCAAAATGCTGGTAAATACAACCAAAATGTCACGCCCCAAATTTCACAAAAGCTTGATTAAAAAAAATTACTTTGTTTATTCCAAAAATACATGTCAGTTTATTGTAAAAATATCTAGAAAAGTATCTTTTTAGTTTAAATAAATAATTTTTTTAGACAATTTCGGCAGAGTTTTCTTTGAAAATCGGGCATCCAAATAATTGGAGAGAGTTACTTGTGAGAGCNATATAAGGGCTAAAATTCGTGACGGGTATCATTCATAGGACCAAAAATTATTTTATAGAAACTATTACAAATTAAAAGGAAATGGTTGGTCAATGTGCTATTTTTTTTGGTAAGTACCGGTGCTNATCGGGCATCCAAATAATTGGAGAGAGTTACTTGTGAGAGCATTAAACATAATAATTATACCTATCTAGTCATTCATATCATATACATCCATTCTCATGATATCCACAAATAAGTCATTATTGTTCAATACTGAGTCCTCCCAAACCCGGGTTATAATCTACTTATCCAAAATTCTTCGTCATGAATTNGCTATTAACTTGAGTTTGTGTAGTAGAATCACTGTCAGCATTGCAACTCACATCAATGAAAATTTCTTTGAGGGTGAGGAGGACAATATAGAGTTTGATACTAAGAAGATTGAATTGAAGGCTTATCGCCTTCATGAGTTTTGATAGTTGTCATTCAGAATTAGTCATCTCTTAAACTTGGCTTACTAGTCACTCTTTTTCCAACCATATAATTATTCGGCTTTATTGGTTACTTGAAATTTCAATTTGGGATACATTTTGAATTAAGCAATTGAAANCCCACCAATATATGCTCATAACTGAAAATGTTAAATAATAGGGGTGAGCAACCACACACTCAATAGGATAATCTTTTTCTCAAGTATTTACAAAGTTTTAAATACAAACATTTAACAAACTATACGAATAAGTAATGAAAACATTCTATAATTTAGTATAGAAACAAGATAATAAATATAGCAATTATAAAAATCTCCCAACACATCATCNTTTTTTTGGTTTATTTTGGTTATTTAAGCTCTATATAATTTATTTGTTAAAAAGTCAAGGATAAAGTATCGAATTAGAGTCTAACTAGAGCACTTAACAAGTATTACGTTGCCCCCATTGCATAACCATCTTGGCTCCACCCCTCTGGATACCACCACTTTTCAGTGTAGAGATGATTGTCTGTGGCCTTGCTACAAGATGCAGTTTGTTCCTTGTGCCCTTGCTCATCAGTTACTATACTTGTGTTTGGTGCACTTCATCAATAAGTTAGAAATCTACTCTTACTACAAGAGGCTTGCTTGGATCAAAGAATGCCTTTGTCAATCGATCACAGATGATCTTTTTATCATAGATAATTCTCTTGTGCAATGTGGTAACCTCATGTACCCAGAAAAGAGGAGAGCTCTTCATACAGAATCTTCTCTTTATTTCTCTCATTAACCACCTATGATGATGTGTATCTTTTTATCGTCTGTATCATGAAGCCCAAGGACTTAAATTTTGGAGAGCAACGAAAAAGAGAGGAAAATTCTAGAGATTTATTGCCAATAATAATTTTGAGCACTATCCCTTATCTTGCCTTATTTGTAGTGACAAAACTACTTGGACTTCTATTAGTTTTTGTTATACCTGACAGGTTCGCTTGATAGCTCTGGCAAATATAAGTTTTTATATCAAGATGAATGAACATAATTTACTTACTCAAATGAAAGAAAAATGAAGAGTATAGACACAATTAACACTATTGGATTGAGAACCAAACATTCAACAAAAAAAAACAAAAATAACAGTATTAATAAGCCATAAAATTTTAAGTAGAATAAATTAGTTATCACTTCATAGTGAGAGTGCACTTCATAATAACCTCTTGCCATAAAATTTTAAGTATGATAGACTAGCTCACACTCCATAGTGAGAGTGCATTACATAATAGCTTATCAAGGTAGGTCTTCATCCTCATAATTGGAGTTCTAGTTGTATGGGATCATCCCAAGTATATATCCTGTCAAAACCTTTTTTTGAATCATAATTTAGAGAAAAACCATCTCTCGGACGGCATTCAAGTCTACAAACGCCTTTGTCATTAAGTTTCTTCTTGGGTCGGATGCTACACACTTGGACTTCCCTTTTTTCGTTTGCCACGGCTTAGATGATCAGGTTGTGAATGAGGTTACCCACAACTTGATCACCCAAGTAATGGCAAACGAAAAGGGAAGTCCAAATGTGCAGCATCTGACCCATATAATTATATCAAAAAGAAATTTAAAGACAAAGGCGTTTGTAGACGTAAATGACATTCAAGAGATGATTTTTTTCTAAATTATGGTTCAAAAAAAGGTTTTGGCGGGAAATACACTTGGGAATGTCCCATACAACCAGAACCCAACTATGAGGATGAAGACCTACTCGATGAGTTATTATGTAATGCACTCTCACTATGAAGTGAGAGCTAGTCTATCCTACTTAAAATTTTAAAATTTTATGGCAAGGTAGTTACTATAAAATGTAGTCTCGCTATGGAGTGATAATTAATTTATTCTACTTAAAATTTTATGGCTTATTAATATTGTTATTTTTGTGTTTTTGTTGAATGTTTGGTTCTCAATCCAATAGTGTTAATTGTGTCTATACTCGTCATTTTTTTTTTCATTTGAGTATGTAAATTATGTTCATTCATCTTATAACCATTGTGTCCGAACCCAAATCATTATTGGGTGCACCCAGGGGTGGAGTCTGTGGTCCATAAATGGGTTGATGAAACAACCAGGCACAGTAACCAGGGCACTGAGTCTCCGACTTGCCAACCCAGATGTATGCAAACCTGTAATTCTTACCCTGCACAAGGGCACTTCTAGAGGACCAATGGGTCCCACACTTACTCGTACAAAACCCATCAACGGTTACATCAGAGGCTAGTATCTTTGTTCACCAATTGTTTCTGTGTGAGTGACTTTCCGAGCGAGTAGCTTTCCTCGAGTATTTGTTCACCCAGATACAGAGATAAAGGTCTCTTGGCATTGGCGAGGTGGTAGTATGTCTCAGTGGTCTTCCACCACGTGGCGACGGAGAGTTGGCTTTGAGATGATGAAGATGAGAGTGAGGTGATGAAATCAGAGATGATTGCTCTGTGGGATGGCTTGAATTTGCCGTACCAGATAAGGTTGATGAAAGTTTTCCCGAAAAGAAGATGGCCTTTGTGGTAATCCAAGTGCTGGGTTTGCGGTTCTTGGAACAACTCAGTGAGTTTTCTTGTTGCAAAGGAAACATGGAAGAGAGAGATTACAAAGAAGAGTTGTGGAATGAATTGGGTTGAAGAAAAAGAAGCCGTTTTGGAACAAGAAGCAGATATATTTTTCTGGGAAAGGGAAAGAGAAGGGAATTTGGGTGTGAGAAATGGTTGTGTGGAGCTGGGTATTTATATAGATGATATAGATCTCAAATGCCTGGCTTTGCATTTTATATATCAATACGTGTAGTGGCGAACCTACTAGGAAAGAGACATAATATTCGGTGCCCTACCATTGCTTAGAAAATGAGAGAGGGAGAGAGAGAGATTAGTTGGCATGCATGTAGGTGACAGGAAGACAGATCCAATTAGATACTCTCAAGACAACGGCGTTTTTAAAAATAATGGCTAGTCCATTAGGTTATGTGTTACCTTTAATATGCTTGTTTGCAACAGAACAAAAAGCAATACAGGTTAGTTCCAGCAATTTAATTAACAAAGGCGTCAGTCAATAGCGACATACCCCAGATTATAACTACTATTATTAGAGTCTAATTGAACAAAATTCAAGTATAGAATTATGTATTTCGAATTCAACTTGAGTTCAATTATATTCAAATAGAAAAATATAGACTTGGATTAAACTAAATTTAAGAGTTTTACAAATTGAATTGAATTTGAATTAACATATCAACTTAAACGCGGAAAATATTAAATAAAATAAAAACTTAAATGCATTTTATGTTTATTGAAAACAATGAGGACAGTCCAGGACAGCATAGAATACTCGCTAGAGCTATCAAGCGAACCAGTCAGGTATAACAAAAACTAATAGAAGTGTAAGTAGTTTTGTCCTTGCAAAATAAGGTAAGATGAGGGATAGTGCTCAAAATTATTATTGGCAATAAATTATTATTATTGGATACCAGTTTTGTCCTTACAAAATAAGGTAAGATGAGGGATAGTGCTCAAAATTATTATTGGCAATAAATTATTATTATTGGATAACAGTTTTGTCCTTACAAAATAACAACACAACTTAAGAGGAGTAGACACAATTATAACCGTGATACCGAAAGATACATTTAAGAAAAAAAAAAAAAAACCGATCAACAAAGTTGTCAAACCAGACCGTCATTACGGGGATGGACTTCGCCGGAAGCATAACTCAAAGAGGACTCCCCTCTTACATGGAAAAATTGGAAAGACTACAGAGGTCATTCCATGGCAACGTGACCATGAACAACCCCTAGCAGCCCACTCTCACCCGGCGTCCCCACACCAAACCCCACAACCAACCTTAAGAGAGTCTGCGAGGATGGGGGAGGTGAAGAGTGAAAGAGACAGAGAGAAGGGAAGGTTGAGAGTAAGAAAATATACAGGGGAGCGGAGAGAGGTGGAGAGTGTGGGAGAAATGACAAGAGTATGAGAGACCCGATAGAGAGAAATTACTGGGTTTGAGAAGTTCAGAGGGTATGATATATATAGACTTGAGACTTTACTATGGAGTGACACTATGACAGATCAAAACGGGCAGAGTTCAGAAAAGAAAAAAAAAAAAATTGCGTTTGTTGGAACCAAATTTCAAGTATCCGCAACAACTCTAAATTATGAAAAACACTGGTAAATAACTCAAGCTGAGGGAGGTGAAAATGATAAGAAAGAGAGAGAGAGAGGGATTTTACTATTGAGTAACAAATAGAAAGGCACGGAGTGAAGATGAACAATCGATATATTCAAGACAAATCCCAAATATAAGGAATAAACATCTGTAAATTGTGGAATAAAAAAATAAAGAGTTAGTGGCTGGTCTTTAAAATATGTTTGTTTTATCAGTTTAGTCTTCATTATATTAATTTTATCAATTTAATCCCTAAAATTTTAATTTGTATCATTTTGAACCCTAATCAGTCATTATGTTAAGGTTTTTTGACAAGAGTGATCATATATCATTCTTTTAAATAGTATCATGTGATCAATACGTGATCATTCTGTCGAAAATTTAACGATTAGTCTGTGTAAGGATTATTTAAACACAAACTGAATATTTTAAAATCCAAATTAGTAAAATTAATATTTTAAGGACCAAAATAAGAAAATGTGCACACATTAACTATCAAAAATGTAATTAAACCAAAATAAAATACAAAACAGGCTCTTGGAAGTAACTCATGCTCAGTTCGAGTTCAATTCTAATTCAATTAAATGACTAGATTCAATTATTTTCATGTATAAATGAGTTCAAACAAGTTGAAAAAACATTTAAGAATTTTAATTTATACAGCAAGAAGAAACTCTTAGTTCATCTAAAATTTTCACAAAGACTGAACTTTTTTTTTTTGAACGAGCACAAAGACTGAACTTTAATAGGGTCAGTGTGGATCAAATAAGATACTATTGGAATGGTTTATAACTGTTTAGATGCAAATCAAGTTCCCCTTTTGAAATCACACGGTACATAATTAGTATCATAGCCTTACCAATAATTTGATTATGTCTTCGTACTTTAAAGTAGGTAAGGTCACGGTATCAAAATTAATACGATGTCAAAATGCCAACTCTACTACTTTTCTTTTGCTTAACCCAAAAGCAACATTAGTCTGAAATTATGATAAAAGGTCGACCAACTTTTGAGACCTGCTTACTATTGTTTACAACAGAATACTATTATTTAGATCTAATTTAACATTTTACTTGATCATAATTATTGAATTAATCATGAATTGCATAAAACATTAAATTTTTTTGTTAATCTAACAATTATAATGAAACTAATATTATTAAATCAATAAATTAGATTAAAATTTTAAATCCCCATAATAGTTTGGTAACTGAAAAACAAATCCCTGTTTGTGTGTGTGTGTGTAGAGAGAGAAAGGGAGGGAGGGTTGCAGGGCTAGGAATGGCAATGGACAGAACTGGGGGCGGGGGTGTAGTCTCTATTCCCGTATCCGCTTAAAAAAACAATGTCCATCCCCGGTCCACCCCGTTAACGGGTATGGATTTCATCCACGTCCGCGAGTAAATTTGTAATCCCCGCCCCCCGCCTCGTCCTTGCCTTCACCTCCACCCCCACCCCTTATCCACATTATCCGTCCAAACCCAAATCCAAGCTCAAGCCAACATAATTTAAAATTCTAAATAAATTTAACATTATAAATAATTTAACATAATTATAGAATATCATAATATAATTAAAAATTTGTTATTAAAACATAATATATTTAAACCTTGTCTGCAAAATAATCCAACATAATATTATTAAAAATTTGTCTCACTTGTAAATTCAACATAATATCATGCAACACAACATAATCTAACATAAAAAAATATAGAAACACAAAGATCTACACTTTTACAAGTCAAAATCATGAAAAAAATCACAAAACAAAACAATTTCTAAAGAAAAAATCATTCAATAATATGTAGATTTGTATTCACAGCAATATATATATAACAGGTAAAGCGAGACGGGGAGGGGCAGGGCGAGGGTAAATGTCAGTACATCCCCGTATTTATCCCTGCACGAGTTTATACGAGTTTTTTTTTATACGTCTACCGTCTAATACATATGGTCCATCTCCAATCTAAACGAAACGGATTTAGATGAATACTCATTTTTACATGATTCACTACCATCCCTATCCGGGTCTAATCCAATAGTGTTTCACTTTTACTGTAGGTCACGACATCTGATGAGCATAACGTTTTCTTTTCTTTTGTCACATATTACCAGCACAAATAATATTTTGTAATATCAAGCAAATCATCTGACGTGAATCGCCATTTTTTGCAGCAGCTCTTCTTTCACTCGATCACCTGCGTGTCCCCCGACGCCCACGCCCACGCCCACGCCCACGCCCACGCCCACTCATCTTTAACTATGTATATTGTAGAAAATGCCATGCTAAATATTTTTTACCAAAATATTTATCAAGTAAATATGAATAATTAGATTAATAGATTCAGTCAGAAAAAAGTAAATAAAATTCATTAATCTAATCATTCACACTGATTTGATAAACTGTTAATAATTTTTTTATAAATGATGATGCACAAAATTATCTCGTATAAGATCAACAGTCGAGTATGTAATAAGTTAAAATTAATGGATAATTAATAGAGCAATCAATGGCAATGATGTAATTATCAAATCAACACACAAATATATAGTAGTTCGGTACTGGTGACCTACTCCACTCTGAGAAACAGCAATAGTGGCCGAGAGATCTTTATTGATAAAGTAAGGTGAACAGGACGGAGAGTAATAGTTAGCCCCCGGAGAGATACAATAGCTAGGACAGAAAAAAACTGTGTGGGGTGTGTAGAAAAGTGTAGAGATAGAGCTCAATGTGTCTTATTTTATAGAGAAGACTTACAATTTATAAGCACAAAGACTTGGTTAAAGTGGTGACTTGAGGGTAAATGTACTAATTTTTCAGGGGATTATGAAAGATAATTGTTATATAAGGTTGTCTTGATATTTGAGAGTGAGTATCTTAACGATTACTCTCATGTGCTTTAATCTTCTTAAACTCCTTGGACTTTGGGCTTGGTTGAATTCATGAATTGAGTCTGACCTGCCTTTTGGTTGATTTGAGCTTATTTAATTTATTGGTCTTGGCCGATTGGATTTGAGCTCATCAATAAGAATAGCTTACTCTATAATTTTCATAACATTATATGGTTATACTATTTGAATTGAATACAAAATTGATAAATTACAATTGAATTGTTCTTAAAATAAAACTAAGACCGACATGACTCGAAAACAAATAATAAATAAATCAAATTACAATCCAAAATTAAAAATTCAAATTTTTAGTAGGATGTGTCTATTTGGGAAAACTAATCTTATTTCTCAATAAAAATCTCCTCATTTCGCTCGATTTATCCCAATAATAATGCTCCGTATGGTATGCTGAAAAATTGGAAGGATAGAAAATTTGAGAAATAAATAAAATATCGTGTTTGGCAAAGAAAGAAAATAGGAATGATGAAAAACTAGATAGATTAACTTTTCTTCCAACTTACTAAATTAATTCCTCCAAAATAAGAAGAAAAGTTGATAGAAAGTTAATTATTTGTGTTGAGATGTATCTTATTTGTCTATATATCTTTTGATATATACACATATTATGTATATATTAATTTCATATAAAAATACAATGATAAAATATGTATTTATTTAAAAATTTTAAAAAAAAATTAAATTTAAAAAAAATATATTTTTTTCATCTTAAATAGGGGTGAAAATTTTCGACTCAACACAATGACATAATTCGAACTCGACACG